AAAAAAAAAAAAAGAAGAGAAAGAAAGAAGAAAAGAGAGAGAAAGGAAGAAAGAAAGAAAGAAAGAAAGTTCAAATAGGAGAGAAAATCAAATTGTCTCTGTTTGCAGGCAATGTGATTCTATATCTAGAAAACCACATCATCGCCGCCTAAAAACTCCTTAAGCTGATAAGCAAGTTCAGCAAAGTCTGAGGATACAAAAATCAATGTGCAAAAATCACAAGCATTCTTATACACCAGCAATAGCCAATATTCTTCAATTCCTATACACCAACAATAGACAAGAAAGCCAAATCGTGAATGAACTCCCTTTCGCAATTGTTACAAAGAGAGTAAAATACCTAGGAATACTGCTAACGAGGGGTGTGAAGGACCTCTTCAAGGGGAACTACAAGCCACTGCTCAAGAATATAAGAAAGGACACAAACAAATGGAAAAACATTCCATGCTCATGGGTAGGAAGAATCAATCTCTTGAAAATAGCCATACTGCCTGAAGTAATTTATAGATTCTATGCTATTCACATCAAACTACCACTGACATTCTTCACAGAATTAAAAAAAAAAAAACTACTTTAAATTTCATATGCAACCAAAAAAGAGACTGAATAGTCAAGACAATCCTAAGCCTATTTATTTATTTTGAGACAAAGTCTCACTCTGTCACCAGGCTGGAGTGCAGTCGCATGATCTCAGCGCATTGCAACCTCTGCCTTCCGGATTCAAGCGATTCTTCTGCCTCAGTCTCCCAAAGTGCTGAGATTATAGACGTGAGCCACCACACTTGGCCAGGATTCCCTATTTAAATGGTTCTGGGAAAATTGACTAGTCATATGCAGAAAACTGAAACTGGACCTCATCCTTACACTTTATGCAAAAATTAAGATGGATTAAAAACTTAAATGTAAAACCCCAAACTGTAAAAAAAAACCCTAGAAGAAAATCTAGGAAGTTCCATTCAGGACATAGGCATGGGCAAAGATTTTATGATGAAATGATCAAAAGCAATTGCAACAAGAGCAAAAATTGACAAATGGGATCTAATTAAACTTACGCACTTCTGCCCAGGGAAAGAAACTATCATCAGAGTGAACAAGCAGCCTACAGAATGGGAGAATATTTTTGGAATCTATCAATCTGACAAAGGTCTAATATCCAGAATCCACAAGGAACTTAAACAAATTTACAAGAAAAGAACAAACAACCCCATCAAAACATGGGTAAAGGACATGAACAGACATTCTGAAAAGAAGACATTTATGCGTCCAACAAACATATGAAAAAAAAGCTCAACCTCAGTAGTGTTTATTAGAGAAACGCAAATCAAAACCACAATGAGATACCATCTCACGCCCGTCAGAATGGCAATTATTAAAAAGTCAAGAAACAACAGACGCTAGAGAGGCTGTGGAGAAACAGGAACACTTTCATGCTGTTGGTGGGAATGTAAACTAGTTCAACCATTGTAGAAGACGGTGTGGCAATTCCTGAAGGCTCTAGAAGCAGAAATACCATTTGGCCCAGCAATCCCATTACTAGGTTTATATCCAAAGAAATAGAAATCGTTCTGTTTTAAAGATACATGCACACTTATGTTTATTGCAGCACTATTCACAACAGCAAAGACATGGAATCACCCCAAACTTCCATCAACGATAGACTGGATAAAGAAAATGTGATACATATACACCATGGAATACTATACAGCCATAAAAAGAAATGAGGTCATGTCTTTTGCAGGGACATGGATGAAGCTGGAAGCCATAATCTTCAACAAATTAACACAGGAACAGAAAACCAAACACCACGTGTTCTCATAAGTGGAAACCAAACAATGAGAACACATGGACACAGGGAGGGGAAGAATACACACTGGAGCCTGTTGGGAAGGTGGGGGAGAGGAGAGCATTAAGAGAAATAGCTAATGCATGTGGTGCTTAATACCTAGGTGATAGATTGATAGGTGCAGCAAACCACCATGGCACATGTTTAACTATGTAACAAACCTGCACATCCTGTACATGTATCCCAGAACTTAAAATAGAAAAGACAAAGAAGGATATTACATAATGGCAAAGGCTTCAATTCAACAAGAAGACCTAACTCTCCTAAATATATATTCATCCAACACAGGAGCACCCAGATTCATAAATAAAGTTCTTAGAGACCTACAAAGTATGTTTCACAGTAATAGTGGGAGATTTCCACACTCCAGTGCCAGTATTAGACATGTCATTGAGGCAAAAAATTAACAAAGATATTCAGGAGCTGAACTCAACATTGGATCAAATGGATCTGATAGGCCTTTACGGAAATCTCCACTCAAAAACAACAGAATATGCATTCCTCTCATCATCATATGCCACATACTCTAAAATCACTCACATAATTGGACATAAAGCAATCCTCAGCAAATGCAAAACAACTGAAATCATATCAAACACACACTCAGATCACAGTGCAATAAAAATAGAAGTCAAGACTAATAAAATTGCTGAAAATCATGCAATTACATGGAAATCAAACAACATACTCCTGAATGACTTTTTAGTAAATAATGAAATTAAAGCAGAAATCAAGAAGTTCTTTGAAAATAATGAGAACAAAGTTACATACTAGAGCTTCTGGACAAAGCTAAGGCAATGTTAGGAGGGGAATTTATAGCACTAAATCCCACATCAAAAAGTTAGGAAGAACTCAAATTAATAACCTAACATCTCAACTGAAAGAGTTAGAGAAGCAAAACAAAACCCCAAAGCTAGAGGAAGACAAGAAATAACCAAAAATCCGAGCTGAACTGAAGGAAACCGAGACATGAAAAAAACAAAACAAAACAAAAACCATTCAAAAGATCTACAAATTCAGGGTAGGTTTCTTGAAAATATTAATAAGAAAGTCTGATGATTCAAATAAACACAATTAGAAATGACAAAGGGAATGTTACCACTGACCCCACAGAAATAGAAACAACCATCAGAAACTACTGCAAACACTTCTATGCATATGAACTAGAAAACTTCAAAGAGATAGATAAATTCCTGGACAAATACACCCTCCCACAACTCAGCCAGGAAGAAATTGATGTGCTGAACAGACCAATAGAAAGCTCCGAAATTGAATCAGTAATAAATAACCTATCAACCAAAAAAGCCCAGGACGTGATGGATTCCCAGCCATATTCTACGAGAAGTACAAAGAAGAGCTGGTGCCATTTTTACAGGAACTATTTGAAAATATTGAGGAGGAACTCCTCCCCAGCTCATTCTGTGAGGCCAACATCATCTTGATACCAAAATCTAGCAGAGACACACCACAAAAAAAGACTTCAGGACAATACCCTCGACGAACATCAATGCAAAAATCCTCAACAAAATACTGGCAAACCAAATCCAGCAGCACATCAAAAAGTTAATCCATCATGATCAAGTATGCTTCATCCCCAGGATGCAAGATTGCCTCAACATACACAAATCAATTAATCTGATTCATCACATGAACAAAACTAAAGATATAAACCACTTGATTATCTCAATATATGCAGAAAATGCTTTCTTTTTTTTATTATGCTTTAAGTTCTAGGGTACACATGCACAACATGCAGGTTTGTTACATATGTATACATGTGTCATGTTGGTGTGCTGCACCCATTAACTCACCGTTTACATTAGGTATATCTCCTAGTGCTATCCCTCCCCACTTCCCCCTCCCCACAAAAGGCCCCAGTGTGTGATGTTCCCCTTCCTGTGTTCAAGTGATCTCATTGTTCAATTCCCACCTATGAGTGAGAACGTGCGGTGTTTGCTTTTCTGTTCTTGTGATAGTTTGCTGAGAATGATGGTTTCCAGCTGCATCCATGTCCCTACAAAGGACATAAACTCATCCTTTTTTATGACTGCATAGTATTCCATAGTGTATATGTGCCACATTTTCTTAATCCAGTCTATCACTGATGAACATTTGGGTTGATTCTAACTCTTTGCTATTGTGAATAGTGCCACAATAAACATACGTGTGCATGTGTCCTTATAGCAGCATGATTTACAATCCTTTGGGTATATACCCAGTAATGGGATGGCTGTGTCAAATGGTATTTCTAGTTGTAGATCCTTGAGGAATCGCCACACTGTTTTCCACAATGGCTGAACTAGTTTACAGTCCCACCAACAATGTAAAAGTGTTCCTATTTCTCCACATCCTCTCCAGCATCTGTTGTTTCCTGACTTTTTAATGATAGCCATTCTAACTGGTGTGAGATGGTATCTCATTGTGATTTTGATTTGCATTTCTCTGATGGCGAGTGATGATGAGTATTTTTTCATGTGTCTGTTGGCTGCATAAATGTCTT